TTTCTCAAGAAATGCTTAACCTTGAGTAGTGCTGGAGCTCTTGCACATGAAAATGGAACACACGAACTTCTACGCTGCTGAATAAAATCCATAGGCCAAGATTATGACCTCATAGCTATATACATCAGCCAGACTGTAACTCAATTGACCTCCTAAGCTAGGCTCACAGCCATCCAAATATTTGAGTCTTGTATTACTAAGCTTCAACGCCTCAACAGTTAACATGGTAAGCTTTATGAGGTTCTCCAGCTAAAAACTGTTGGAATCTAGTATTTCGCTATTTCTCACATGCGCTATGACTCACAGCATTCCTCCTTAACTTAAGACATGGTTTTCTGCAATGGTGAGAGTGCGGACCTCATTCAACATCTTCCTCTCTTGGGGAGAAGTGATCAAATTGTGTTCGCCTTCAAGTTCATGGCAGTGGTATCATGGGCCAGACCCCGACTCAGCCAAAACTTTGGAAAGCTGAAGTAAATGCCATTGTCTCGGCGGCCGTATAACTGGGCTAGTACATAAATCCGATAAGAAGCAGCATGGAACCAATTTAAGCAACTTTCTGTTCAGGTAGCCGAACCTTCCACTACGTGGTCTATCCTGAAGGGTAGAAAACATCGTTCCTCATGGATAAACCGAGAGATTCGTAGAATGCCCAAGTGTGAGCCTTAATGCTGGAACCTGTTTATTACACATAAGACATCTGGGACAAGAAAATTATGCGTTGTCTCTAGAGAAAAAGTTATTGTGAAAGTCCACCAATCAAGGATGAAGCCTGAAATACATCCGGCTCAAACGACACAGCACAGCCTAAGAAAGGTTTCCGTATATGAACTTCAGGAATAAGACACCTAATAGGGCGCTAAATGAGTCGGTGGCACAGTGGTTAGGACTCTCGCCGACCATGCACATGGTCCGACGTTCCATTTTCCTGCCGACGCACACCTGATATCTATGGTCGGCCTGCAAATTTTTGGCTACCGATATCCATGCTGAAAATTCCATACTTGTACCAAATAAAATACAGTGTGGAATCAAGCTGTAATCAAAAAAATAAATCTGAATTTTGATAGCAATACAATCGAAAGGGATCAAGAAGAGCAGCAGCAACGACAAACTACTTCTCCAAAATCTTTAAACAAGAGTCGCCACTCCCCACAGGATCAGTTCTTAACGCATCAAAATATCACAGGATAGACGGCGTTGATGCCGATCAAGACTTCGTGTCCAACTGCTGAAAGAAACTGGATCCAGGGAAATCAATGTGTCCTGATTATCTTCACCCAAAGGCTTTTCAAGGAGCTATCAGCACACATATCCGGCCAACTGACCGCTATCTTTAGGCCATTTCTCCTAGATGAAGTGCCATCGTGTGACTGGAAAGACGTCAAGGTAACATCCATCCACCAAATAGGCTCAGGGCAATGCCCTTCAAACCACAAGCATATTAGAATCAGCAGTACCTTAATTAGGATGCCTGAAAGAATCATCAAGAAAGTTGTCATTATCTTTTTGGAACAGTTTATAAATCTTGGGTTAAACCAGAGTGAATGGATATAAAAGACCTGTCACTGTAGTTGAAGATTAAACGATCAATTCATGGTTGTTTGCTCAAACCCAACTCTATATTTTTCGCGGGAGTCATCAATCCAGCAGTTATCGTCTCATCGTTCGCTGTTCGGTTGAAGACAGAAAACTATCAGAAAACTCGTGTATAATAACCTTATTGTTGGATACATAATGGCGTAAGAATAACGGATTCTTGAGTCACCGATCTGTGTTCTGGTTTTTCTCATTGGTTATTAAAAATTGTTTCTGAAAGTCTTCCAGGGTCAGCATGAGGTCCGGCGTAGTAAGAGCTGGACATTGACGGTTTCTGATAGTTGGCTGACGAGATCCTTTCGAAATACTTGTCTTAGTACCATCGTAAACTTAACGACTATACATACTGCCTTGCAAACACGAGACTCTTAACGGCAAATCCGGGGAATAGTATTTCCAGCCTGGAGTATGTAACAAAATGATATTCAATTTCTTGCCAGCACTTAGATTTTGCATAGGTCGCCCCAGGGTTGATCCGGTTGCCATGAATGCAGTGACGCCTAAATAACCGTATCTGCCACCGAATGCTGGCACTTCCTTATTCATTGCCTATTTCAGAAGTGAGAGTGTAAAGGGAGGAGGCAAGTGAGTTGGTAAGGGGCCTTAATAACGGAGGAAATTCACATTCTTAGTTAGGTTAGCGGATAACAAAATGTCCTGATAGGTTATTGGTATTCTGAAGGTTAAACCTTCAGGCGAAAAGTTGTCTACGTTCACGTACTGTTCTGGTTAGCAGTTGATTTATTGAATGTTAAAACTGTTCTGATCGGCTGATGATTCCCTGGAGGTCAAATCCTGAGATTATTTCCTGACGACGACATAAGCTATATAAAGATTTGAGAGCTAACGTTTCTGATAGCAAAGCCACTGACATAAATTGTTTTCAGTCTTGCTTACTTCCTATTAATCTGCGTTTATATACTACCGATGATTTTTGTCGGCAGCACACGCCACTTGAGTATTGTTAGCCAGATTACTAACATATGAGATGATATGTCACCAGATAACTACGACTGTTGCTGCTTCGTGTTTTGCTGAGGAATAACCAAAGTAAGCCGCGGCAAATGCAGATGACTGAAATTTGAATATTCGAATAGTAACAGGTGGTCTATCGGTTCCACACTATATATGATTCATTAACTTAGCGCATTTTTGGAAGGCTGCTGAAGAATTTGATTAACAGTTACCTTTGCCCGATGCTGAAGACCACAGGGATAAGTAGAGTGGATAAACGGTAGTGAACTCTTTTAAAGAACCAATGAAAATACTGTTGGCTTACATATATATGTGCGCATGTGCGTGAAATGTACAACCAGACAGTAATTTCTGAATACCAGATTTATTATAGGCCTAGTCATTTATCTTCTTATGCTCATTGATTGGGAGGTGCTCTGAATAAATAAATAAGAATATGAAGAAGCGGTATTTATATTATGCTGAAGTAGTGGTTCAATGACCATATTAATTGGTAGATAATTCATCATAGAGCATGGAAACTGAGTGGCGTACAAATGAAATAGAAAAGTCTAGTATAATACGCGGGGAAACTGAGAAGTCAATGTTCCCCTGACATCGGTCATAGATTTCTCGAAAGATTATAACACACGGCCAATTCATGAGTTTCTTTTCGGTCTCTGTTATTTCTATGAAGCCACCATTCGTTTACTGATCTAGGTTGGTTGGGTGGCAAATAACCTCCTGATTATGGCAATGGAATGTTGTAAGACTTAATGACACGAACCCAGGAAAGTATGCATTTTAATACCGATATGCAGTTGTGATTTTCCTTAGCATCTCAAAGATAACTAATTAATTGACCACTGATTCTTTAGTGGATCTTTTCTCCAACTATTGAACCCAACAACGCTTCGTTTTATTTGCAGAGAAGGAAATCCAAGGAAGTACGGTTCAGCCAAACACTTTGCGTCCACCTAATATTTCAGAACAGCACATTTAAGCGAACAAAGGGAGGGATAACAACTGTACAAAGTTCTTCTGGATACGTGGTTTGGGCTCAAAAGTTCAGATACCTATCACCTCAGATGTATGCAATCCATTCAGACGACTAGTTGGGAAATCATGCATCACCTTGGGTGCTTTCGTAGCAATAGGTCACTCTACTTTATATCTTTGTTATTGATGACTATTGTTATCATTATGATTACTAGCATTATTATTGTAGCCAGTCGCACAACTTATCTGCAAAATCTCATAATCCTATTTCCTGATTGATCTGTATTTTATTATATATTTGTAGGATTATGTGTATTGGAGTTACTGCTGATGAGATCTAACTGAAAACAATATTACCTGGTTTAATGTGTTTTTCTAAATTTTACTATGGGAACTGACGGGGATATCAAAGCAAGAATCGGAAAAGCAAGACAAACTTTCATTACTCTTAAGTCTGTGTGGAAGTCAACAGCACTCAACCTGAAAAATAAGATCCCGATTTTCAACTCAAATGTGAAGTCAGTGCAACTTACTATACGGATCATAAAGAGCATCTCAAACAAACTTCAGACCCTCACTAACAGTTGTCTTCGCTCAATACTCAAGATCAGATGGCCAAAAAAGATCAGCAATAGGGGTCTCTGGCAATGAGCGAACCAACCAGGAGCCGATTGTGATACAAATAGGCCGGAAGAAATGGAGATGGATTGGCCATACTCTGAGAAAACAAACCATCAAGTGGCATCACTAGACAAGCCATTGTTCGAGTGGAACCTGAATGGGAAGCGGCGAGTTGGTCGTCAATGCAAGGGTGACTTGGAGGAGGTCATGTGAAGAGGAGATGAAAGCATGTGGGCAGACTTGGAGCGGGGTGAAAAAGTTGGCAGAAAACCGATGGCGATGGAGGTGCTCAGCTGAAGCCCTATTTTCCTCTAGGAATTACAGGATATAATAATAATAAATTTTACTATAGGGATACTTAATGTTTCAACACCATTGTTGCTTCCAGAACTCAGGCTTATTTAATATAAAATCTGAGGAGCTAGAGAGGAAGGCTTACGTCGGTAGGTGATAGTGTGCTTTCAGAAATTAAATTTTGTATACTAAAATAAAGAAACTGTTGAAGTCATAAAATTGTTTGAAGCTTCTTCTCATGGAACAAGAATTTTCACTTTGTCATTATGTGAGAATGAAGGGACATAGTTTATGTGTCTAGCAGCCAATAACATGTCATACAGAATCATTAAATGTGACTTCTCACGCACTCATGAAATGCTTCACTGGAATCAGAAGACCCAAGCAGAGTACTCAGATTATTCTTTACCAAGGAACGAAAATAATGATGGCATAACGACATAAAGTTTTTTCACATCTGTGTAGTTTTGTTAATCTCTTCTCAATTGAGATAGGCCACATTCAACCTTCAAGGTCATTCCTGTTTACAGGTCATGGAATATAGCAATTGCCAGAATTCTGATTCAGATTATCTGCCGGAGGCTACCTTATTCTGTTCAGCGTGCAAATCGCGTGAGGTATTCGGGATACTTACTACATGTTTGCATCTAACCTGTCAAACATGTTCTGAATTGATGCACAAAGATGATGTTTACCTTTGTACTGTCTGCAGTGAACGTAGCACTAAGGTAATTTCCCGGATTTTTCTAATTCCTCCATTAGGTAATTAATAACCCTAACCTATGTAGGCCAGAAAACACCAACAAATCGCCCACATGCAATTGGTGTCATGATAATGGTGAACAAACGAAATCCGTCGGACATTGTGAGGATTGTGGTATATGGTTGTGTGGAGAATGTCTGAAGGGTCATAATAGAATGCCACCACTGCGTAATCACAATATTACAGTGCTTTCCAAGAGTGAACATACGGGTTAGTCAACCAATATACTATTGTTTAAGTAGTCAGGATCTCCTTTTCATAACTTTTGTTTGTGACATATTTCATAACGTTTACAATGTGTTCAGGTAGCGTTTGCAGGTCAACAAACCAGCATTTTTCTTGATAGTTTTCCACCACAGTGAGGACACATGCTTTGTTTTCAGCTCTCTAAGGATGGAATAAAAGGGGGGTCTTAAGTTTGTGCCATTACTTTGAGATAAAAAATAACTATTTTATGTTGTCTAAATATTTTTCGTCTTTGGTTGAACTGCTTTAAGACGCGAAATAGGATTTCGTTAAGTGTGACTCTAAATTTTATCTAGGTAGGATTGCCAATGGCACATCCATTTGTAAGACATTCTCCTAAAATATGTAGGTTATATCACTTTTCCCTTCAATAATACTCCGTATTATTTCTGTTTTGCCTGAAGTATCTGTTTTGGACCGAGTAACGGTACTGCTTCTCTTCTCTAATCTGGGAAAGTAAAGCGAGGTAAAACCCCATAGTTTACTGATGGAAAGCCAACTACTGAGTCTTAGAGATGTTCATAGTTCAGTCTAATGTTCGATCTTTACAAACCGCTTAAATCTATGGCATTGGAGTTTAAAGTCTTTGGAATATGAGGTATATAGCGTATAAAGAAACCATGTGTATTTTAGAGTTATTGGAAAATAAATGTTTAACCATTATAAGCAGATCACTAGGTCTTCATGTAATTTCATCTCTAGCATGTTCCATTCTCATTGACTTGCTTCATGTTTTTAATGCATGCAATTTTGTTAATTCCTGCTTGTCTCCATCAGAGTACATTTGCTTTTTCTATATAACAAAACGTAATTATTTAACACTATCTACTCATTTACAGGCTCACTTCGTTGTGAAGCACATCCGAACGAAGCACTTGAATGCTTTTGTGAAGCTTGTGGAGTGTTAACTTGTCGTGACTGTCAGTTATCAGTTCACAGAGACCATGGAAGCCATCGATGGGTTGGAGAAAAAGCAGTTCAGTTAAAGACCCCTCTAGAGGAACGTGTCCAAGAACTTAGAAAGTCCGGTGAAAAGTTGTCTTCTATTCTTGCACATACTAACAGTGCTCGTATATGTACTCCAGAAGATAGTTTTATGTCGAGTGTAGAGAAAGCCCGTCAAGATATTAAATCACGAACAGCTTCCCTCATTGACTGCGTTCGAGTTCGATCTGAGTGTCTTTTAAACGAGCTTGATAAGAAGATGGATATGTACGCTGGTCGACTACACGATACAGAGGCTTTAGTAACTAAACTCCAGGTATGTTATTGACAAAAGGGTTGGTTTTCTTTCATTGTTATAGCACTTGTGAGTAAAATATTTCATAAATGAGTCACTTGTATGGTGGTTATATTTACGGCTTTAACTTCACTGAGGTTTTTAAGTGGTGTGTTTTCGGTGAGCAATCCAAATAGTTTTCACTTGAAGTTTACGTAAAGTGTTTGTCACTGACTTGTGGTCCTTACCAGAGTTGAGAAGCGTTCAGATAAGCTGAAGTTAAGTTCTCCCATGATATCACCAGTTATTCTTTTGGGATAACTAAAGATTTTTAAGTTTCAATGCAGTAGCAATTATGTTGTAAGAGTCGGATGTGAATCTTCGTGATTGATCTCGTTAGTCCATTGTCCTTCAGCTGTTCTTGTTTGTGTATCGGGAGAAGCCTTCGATAAGCAGGTTCATTCTTGGAAATTATAACCTATACATGACCTCTGTAATTCGTAGTGAAATCTACAGTATATTTTTATCTCCATCCTGTTAAAAGTTTTGCAAAGTTGAACCTTGTAGAATAAGGCTTTCACCTAAGTTGTGCTATTTGCAAACTTAACCGTACGACCTATTTATTTAATTCCACAAACACACTCAAATTGATATACGCAGTTTGAAGTGTCGAGGATTGGCGACTGGTCTTTCCCAGATTGTTGAAGCACTCAATTAGTGGTGTTAAAGAGAACAAGTTTTGCAGCACAATAAGTTCTCTTCATGGCTTTATCGAGTCTTCGTTTGACTACTTCTTGTACATCATCTCCTTTGGACGGCAAACTGATATAGACAGGTTTCTTCGGAGCTGTTTGGATTGTTTTGCAGGGGCTAATTTCTTTAGAGTATTTATTAATGAACTTCTCAGGATATCCATTCTTAGATAAAATATCCTTGAGAGATTTTATTTCATGCTCAATAGTACTGACAGAAATTAGTTGTAATTTGGAGGGTTTATAAATTCTTTTATTTACCTCCACATACTTATATTAATTGCTCTCCATTTTGAACTTCTTTTACATGTAATAATGTAACAACAGAAGACAAGGGCCGTCAACAGATCGTTTTATTACGGAAATCAGCACGTATTTATACATATTTCATGTACATTATTATAGCTTATTCAAGAAGACAAACACAGTCTTCTGACTGGTTGTTTCTGGTTTCTCGAAAAGTTAAGCCATATATCTGCAAATCTTATTTGCCCACGTTAAGTCTTCTGTGATTGGTTGTTGAATCAGCCGTGTTCATATTTTCTCACGGCCAATATTAGTGACCTAGATATTGACGTAAATTAATGTCTACCGATTGGTTAGCAGCCTGCTCTCACCACAATAAGATATGCTGAATCTTTTTATAAACAACTGCTAAGTAAATAATGATGGGCGTCAACATGGTTTACTTGTTACTTTATTCATGTTTTTTTGTCACTCAAAAGGAACACATCAACTTTGTATCAGCCTTTTCAAATCATCTTATCAACAATGTAGACAGTGATCCTGCTAGTTTGGTACAACTTTATGAAATTGTCAAACTAAGACTTGATTTACTTCAAATTTTATCTGAACAAATATTGAATGACTCAGCATCTCTTGGCAATTCAGTGGATCAGAAGTTAAAGGATCAAATAAAGGGGTCAAGTTTATGGACGGATAATGCAGTTGGCTGGCGTACTGTAGTTAATACTCGGGCATTATTCCTTGGTAACTGGGACGCTGAAGAATTGTGCCGATATTCTGGAACAATAGCTTGGTTACCCAAACAAACCGATGTTAATATTCCTCATAAGGATAGCGATCAAATTGTTGAGAATCAGACAACTGTGAAAATAGAGAACGTAAGCTTTGAACAGAGAATTTTTTTGTTGTATTCATAACTAACTGTGCATTTTAGGATACATACGATAGAATTTAGTCTGAATCAAACAAAGGATCAGACTCATGGCACAAGCTGCCACCTACTGTCCAATCAAGGTATCCATTATAGTACTGTACCCGACCGAAAGCTGCTACCTTGATGTGGTGGTCGGGCTTGAACACCTCAATGACCCAACAAGCTATACTGGTTGAGACTTATGTCTCTTGAGGTCCTACCACGCCAGAACGGTTGTTTGGATAACGGTTAGACAAAAAGCAGCTACCAAATCCAACACTATGATTCAAACAAATTCACAAACTATCATACCGGATCGGTCGGGGCCCGGATTAGCAACGACCGCACTCCTGCTGCCGTGTTACAGGGCAGAAGTAATAAATATGCTACTGAGACACACTAAACAATAAAGAACAAACAAAAACAGGCCGCGTGTGACCGGCCTCAAGCAGTTGTCCCCTGGGCTCTGCGGTCACGCAACCAACTTCCACGGTGTGGGCAGCCGGGAAGTAACAATTGCCCTCACAATCCAAAATGCACACGAAACCTCTCTAATCCTGTAGGAGGTCTGTCGCGATCCTGAATAGCTCAGGGATAACGTCTGACTGCAGCACTGGTTGACTTAGGTTCGAATCTCATCAGGGACATGAGTTCCTCCGCGACTGTAGAGACGCGTTGCTAATGAGTGTCAACAAGCACGAAACCTTCGTTGAAGGCTTCCTGTGGCCAAATGCCTCCAACCATCTAATAAAAACAATTCAGAGTGCACCTTCTGGACTGGTAGCCACATTGGAAACTTGACTGATAGAATTAATTCTGCACCAAACAAAGGATTAGAGGCATGGTAGTAGTTACTACCTAGTTTGCAACCAAAGTATATACGATTGTAACATTGAAGAAGGAGGATCAGGTAGTTTAGGTAAGATTTTCTTCAGTGACTTCATTTATATAGATGTACAATAGCGATTATATGTGATGTACTTACTAGACGTGAACTCATTGAAAAGAGACTGTTCTCTTAACTACTTGCTCTTCTCTTTTTAACATGCATTTTTTTCACATAGGGTTTAAAGTATTAGATTTTTGCATTAGTTTCGTTTTTAAGGACTAAGTATTCCTTTTTCGGTTAAGTTGCACATAACTGGTAAATGCTCTTATTTGAACAAGACGCGGAGTAAAAATAATTTGTGAGGTGATATCACCTCTTAGTTGCTCCACAATAATTCTGTATTTAGCATGTTTGAGAATAATAATAATAATGTTTGACAACTAAGCTTATGGACTATAGGCATTCATAACTAATATTTTAATAGGTCAATTAATCGAATTGTTGTATCCCTTTATGTTTTTGGTCCTGCAAGTGGCTTCAAGTAAACACTGTCAGTAGTTTGTGCAAATCTAAATATATATATTTTTTATAAATTAGCCCAATATATTTGGGAAAAACTTTTAAACTGACTTTTTAGTCTCATGGTTCCGCCGTCAGACGGCACCAAAAATCCGAAGTACATAGGTCTTCAATTTATAATAATATTGATATTTGGAAAAGTGTGTTGTTGACAGTTTATGAATTAAAATGTCACTCACTTGAGTGTGAGTGAGGTCACCAAGTTCACACTAGTGGCAAAGACAGTAGCGATAAGGGTTTTTAGGTCATCTTTCTTGTCTTATGTATTTTTGGTGAATAAGTTTGATGGAAATTCTGACACATGGCTCTTTTTTTATCTGCTAGTAACTGGAGAGTGAAGTTATGTTCAGAATAAGGTGCCATTTCCACTTAAATTACAGATGAGCTGAAATAAGTTACTTGCGAAGAGACCTACCAGAGTAACTTTCAAAATCTATGGCAAATTTAATTTTGATAGCGTTATTAGAAGACGGAGATTATCTGGAAAATGTGATGTATTGGAGCTATACGTTTCGAACAATCTGATCACACATTTACTTGTCAAGTCAATATATATAGGAAAAGTTAAATTAAACAAAGTGACAAAGAAAGACTTAAGAATAATTAACACAAACGTTTGGTAATCCAATCAAATAAGGATTACCAAGGTAGGTTAGGAGTAATAACAAACTGTTTTTGAATACACAAGGGAGGCTTAAGTTTATGAATAGCTATAGCCTCAGCGTATTTCAGTAAACGTTTGTGTTAATTATTCTTAATTCTTTTTTGTCACTTTGTTTAATTTAACTTTTCCTATATATATTGACTCGACAAGTAAATGTGTGATCAGATTATTCGAAATGTATAGCGCCAATACATCGCATTTTTCAGATAATCTCCGTCTTCTAATAACGCTATCAAAATTTATAAAAAGGACTAATTGTTTTACAAATTTAATCCCTGATAGGCTATAATAATTAATCCTGAACTGTATCTTAAACTGACTTGCTAAATTCGAAGTCAAATAACTGCATCATATGTGCAGAATTTGAAATAATCATCTTCAGTCTGTCTGTCTGTCTGTTTTCGACATAGAACTTTGCACAAATGTGCGGAAGTTCATCTTCAGTAGTTGTGATCTTGGTGCTATAGTTCACAAAAACCAATGGTTTGTCACTACGGTTTTATTTAAGCGATAGTATATCGTGAAATTTATGCATAATTAGTTTACAACAATTAAAAACCCATTAATAATTAGGTTGCTCTCAATAGAGTTACATCGTTTCAGCAGCGTGCACCCTCAACTTTTGTATCAGGTCAAATTTAAGGCTGTTAAGCTGTGAGGCAAATTTCTTATCATTTTCAGGTATTAGTTTTGTAGGGATTTTGTTTGATTGCATGGAGGATTTCATCATGAGCTGACATCAGTTAGAGAACCACTGGAAAACCAGCAAGGAGTGCTGGACAGCTGTTTCATCCTAGTGTTTGGAACTCTTCATCAGTACGCACCCACCGGGCGTAGTCCGAACCCAGGACCTTCTGGTTACAGGTCGAGCTAGCTCGTAGACCATTAAGCCACTAGGACGCATCCGATCCAAAGGTTCTTGAATTCTAACTTCTGCCAATTCACGACATAGCGCGACCATTTCGCAATGTCTTCTGCTTCGATGAGTTACTGCCTGATCTTCAACTTGCTGTACCCTAGTGGTCACGCCTTCCCACTAGAACCCGAGGTTAAATGCTTGAATAGGGCCAGTCACAAGTGAGCATCAGATCAATTTTCAAGTATTAGTTTTGTAGGGATTTAGTTTGATTGATTGGCTGAAGGATTTCATCATGAGCTGACATCAGTTATCACTTTCTGTTTTTTTTAATGTACAATTTTTTTTAGAGAAATACTCGATTATTTTCCACTTTGTGTTTTTCTGTCTATTCTACAAAAATACAAATTTTGTGTGTGTGTGTGTGTGTTTTAGGGCTTGACACAGGCAGATAATGCGGCATCTAATCTGTCTACAACAACAGATACTAATGACTTCCTGGACTCTTTAGCAGAATTGGATGGTGATAAATTGACGTGTAGGGATAATGGGGAATCCTTGCTTGGATCAGCAGGTTGTGCTATCTGTTTCGGAGTTGGACTACTTGCTCATTGTGGACAGTGTAATCGGGCTTATCATTTGGACTGTCACTTACCGCGTATAGATAGTATATCCCTAACTAGTGATTGGGTATGTGTTTTGTGTTCTGTTGCTGCCAATGATGAAACTCCCTCTACTACTACTACTACTCAATCATTGAAGAATGGATTTTCTTGGGATGATTATATGGTGAGTGACTTGTGAATATGTTTCTTTTTTCTTCTTTTTGATAGCGTTTCTGTCTGTCATTGGATATGAATTTGACAGCTAAAATAAATGAATACTGCTTGTCTGTCTGTTTTCGACATAGAACTTTGCACATATGTGCGGAAGTTCAAGTTGCCATACTCCATGTAGCACACAAAGCAAGAGAAGAAAGTACAAGAAAAGCATAATAGAGACAGTAAACAGAGATGTGAGACAAAGGAAGAGTAATAACGAAGAACAAAACAGTTTCATTGGAAATAATAAGTCACAAGGAGTGGATGCATCTGCGCTAGCCACTGAGAACGATTTTGAGCCATGCCACCAATAGTTTCCAACCACTGGTTTTTACCGTCCCGAGGACCCCAACCAGGAAGTCTACACCTTCCTACATGGCTTAGACCAACTGTTATAGATTTCATTGACTGGTGCCAAGTTTTTGTTTGACCACCGCTAGCTTTTTTCCAGTCTGACCTTATATCCGCTAACATTGCTTGTCGAGGTAGGCGATGACCAGGCATGCTTACGTAACACATGTCCTAACCATCTCAGTCTTTGTAACTTCACAACATCGTCGATTGATTTCCCCTGTTTACCTAGAACTCGACGCCTAACCTCAATATTGCTAACCTTATTGTACCACTTCACACGGGAGATAGAACGCAGGCACCTATGATCAAAGACAGCTAATCTTTTCATGTCTTCCACTGTCAGTAGCCAGGTCTCACAGCCATAAAGGAGGACGGAGCGGACTGATGACTGTCTGTCTGTCTGTCTGTCTGGATTCAACATAGAACTTGGCACCGAAGTGCAGCAGTTCGAGTTGCCACCTTCCAAATAGCACACAGAGGTAGACAAGAAGATGAGTGAAGAGAATCAATACAGTCTGACAAGTATAAGAGTGAAACAGAATGGGTAATGGTAGAAAGGAATATGAAAGATTACAGAGACTGAATACATCTGCGCCATTGACAACGATTTTGAGCCATGTCACCTATTGTCTCCAGCCATTGATTCCTAGAGTCCCGAGGGCCCCAACCCGGGAGTCTGCATCTCCCTACCTGACTCAGTTTAACTGTCAAGGATTTCATGGATTGATGCCATGTTTTTGTTTGGCCACCACTGGCTCTTTTCCAACCTGAACCTATATCAGCTAGCAATGCCCGTCGGGGGAGGCGGTGGTTAGGCATGCGCACCACGTGACCTAGCCATCTTAGTCTATGTAACTTTATAGCCTCGTCGATTGATTTTCCCTCTTTGCCCAACACTCTACGCCTAACGTCAACATTACTTACCTTGTGAAACCACCTAACGTGAGACAGAGATCGCAGACATCTATGATCGAAAGCAGTCAACCTTTTCATGTCTTCAACGCGTATTGGCCATGTTTCAGAGCCATAGAGAAGGACGGAGCGAACTGATGAGCAGTACACACGTCCCTTGGTAGCCAGCCGGATGTCACGCCTACGCCAGAGATGGTGTAAGTCAGCGAAAGCAGCTCGAGCTTTTCGGATCCGTGCTGAGATTTCATCGCCAATCAGTCCGTTGGTGCTAATACAACTTCCCAAATAGGTGAAGTGGTCAACATGTTCTATCACTTCACTCCCTATCACTAAGTTAGGGGTTGACGTGGTCCAGTCCTGTAGCAGCATCTTACATTTTGTAGGGGCGAATCGCATGCCAAACATACGAAGATTGCTGCTCAAGGTGTTCAGAAAACTCTGCATTTTGTCAGCATCCTCCCCTAACAGGACTATGTCATCTGCATATTCTAAGTCCATAAGATTATTCCCTGGTAACAAGTCGATTCCTAAGTCATTACGTTCAGTTAAGGATACTTCCATCAGCATATCTATGATGAAGTTAAACAGAAATGGGGAAAGTGGACATCCCTGTCGGACACCACTGGTTGTTACCAATTCAGATGACAATTCCCCATAAGCCCTTACACGACTACGTGAGTTTGAATAGAGTGCCTTGATTAGTGCAATGTACTTTCTTGGCACTCCCTTCACAGTCAGACATTGCCATAGTACCTTTCGATCCACGGAGTCGAAGGCCGCCTTCAAGTCAAGAAATATGACAATTGTTGGACGCCGAAAAGTGTGTCTATGTTCTAGAATCTGTCGAAGAGTGAAGATATGATCTATGCACCCTCTACCTGGTCTAAAGCCTGCTTGATTTTCCCTTGTCTGTTCCTCCCGAGTTCTGCTTAGTCTATGCATGATTACTGAGCCTAGGATTTTAGAGACTATGTTCGTTAGGCTGATCCCCCTATGATTATCACACGAGGACTTGTTTCCCTTCTTGAATATCGGTATAATAAGTGACTTACCCCAGTCTGATGGAACTGTCTCTGATTCCCAGACTTTGCCTAGTACCTCAGTTAATCTACAAACTAGTATGTCACCCCCATATTTAAACACCTCCGGAATAATTCCGTCGGGTCCTGCCGCTTTGCCTCGTTTCAAATTACTGATAGCTTTTGTGACCTCACTACAGACGGCGGACCAGTGTCTATATCCCATTCGGGTGTGTGGATGCGGGGAGGTTCAGTGTGGCTGTAGGCAAGTTAAATTGTCCTCAAAGTGTTCTTTCCAGCGTTCAAGGCGTCTATCCTGAGAGCTAATTAAGGAGCCATTTTTCTCAGAAATAGTCTCACTTATGATTTGCCTTCTCCCGCCCGTTTCTGATGAGTCTAAAGAGTTGCCTAGTGTTGCCTATCGCCGATGCTTTTTCCATCTCTTTTGCCTTTGTCACCCACCACTGTTCACGGTCCTTGCGGAGACTTTTAGTAAGTTTCCTTTTGTGCAGCTTTCGCTCCTCATTGAATTCGGAGCTCGCCGGAATAAGTCTTCTAGCATCTATCAGTTCGGATGAGGCAGTCGAAATCCAGTGGTTTTTACTCACCTTTGGATTTGCCTTATTCACAGCTTTTACAGCTGTATCTATAGCTGACTGAATATTCTTCCAGGCTTCTCCAGGGTGAGCACAGCTGTCGAATTCAGATATGCGTTTAGCTAGTTCTTCCTCAAATAGGGATTTAGTTTCCTGATCGAGCTGGGGACGTGATGGTTTTACCGCCAGCTGTTTCCTACGTCCGTTCAGTCGTAAGCACACACGAGCCCGGACCAGTGCGTGATCGGTATCTACACACGTGTTCCAGAAGGAGCGACAATCTCCTACCGACCCACGCCAACGATAGCTTATTGCTATGTGGTCTATTTGTGTCCAGCGTTGGTTTGATGATGGGGGTCGCCAGGTTAAACAGTGTCTCTCCTTGTGTTTAAAGTTAGTGCTTACAAGAAACAAATGATTATCTGAACAGAACTGTAGGAGACGGTCACCGTTGTCGGTTCGCTGGCACGGAACTCCATAGGTGCCACCGACATCCTTCTCAGATTGACACAATTTCCCTACTTGAGCGTTAAAGTCACCAGCTAGAACGACTATATCTGAGCGTTTAGCCTTTCTCACCAAACTAGACAGCTTTTGGTAGAACTCATCCTTCGTTTCATCCGAACTGCAGTCAGTGGGGGCGTAGGCGGAGATTACGAAAAGGCATCGGCGAGTAGTGCAGTCCTTTCTCCTTCTTACTGATCCGTTCAGACGGACAGCACACATTCGGCTATCTACTGGGATCCAGTCAAGTAATGTCTTTTCTGCCCTAGTACTCAAGCTATCCCTACGCCAGCTAATCCTCGTGAACTAGCTGTGGCATCTCCTGACACCCTCAAGGTGAATTTTGAAGATTCATCCTGTTGGCCAGGTGGGGTTAGGTGAATAACCACACTTGGGTCTTGTATGCGTGTTTCTGAAACACAACATACATCAATGGCTCGGGATGCCAGGGTCTTAGCTAGTGATGCTTGTGCCAAATAGGACAACAAGAAGGAGAAAGGACTGCACTACTCGCCGATGCCTTTTCGTAATCTCCGCGGACTGATGAGCAGTACACTCGCCCTTTGGTCGATAGTCGGATATCTCGTCTACGCCAGAGACGGAGTAAACTGGCAAATGCGAAACGAACCCCCTGTATTCGTGCTGAGGTTTCATCAGAGATCAACCCTTTGGGGCTGATGGTACTTCCCAAATAAGTGAAGCGATCAACGTGCTCTACCACTTCACTTCCTATTTCTAATCTAGGAGTCTGTGTAGTCCAGTCCTGTAACATCATCTTGCATAAATGAGTACTGCTTAATATGGTATGTTATGTATATTGAAGAAGAAATTCGCCGAACTCAACAAAATGAAACTCAATACAAACAGACTCCTTCAAGAAATGAAACCCAAAATTGGAAATTCTCTCTGGTTTACACTAAAACCAGAATCTTATGTACCTTCAAGGCTCTACGGTCAACATAAACCCACAGTTCCATTAAAATCAGTAATAGATTTCACCAACTCATCGACATACAACCTATCTAAATACTTAGTCTCGGTACTACAAAAGGACACTCAAAATATTGTAAAAGATTTATATGATTTTAAATCCCAAATGGAACACCGAGAAATTGATAAGGAAGATATCATGGTAAACTATGATATTCAACTCATTACATACTAGTATCCCTATTACCGAAAGTCTTGATATGATTTCCAGTCTACTAGAATCAGATACAACGCTATCACAAAGATGTCCACTGGACACCAGTGAAGTAATTAAGAGCTTGAAATTCTGTCTAGAAAATAATTATTTTACTTTTAAAGGGAGTTTATATAGACAGGCAAATGGTGTTGCTATGGGTTCACCAGTCTCCCCAATAGTCGCCGACCTTTTTATGAATAGATTCGAAAATAACATCTTTTCAAGCATACTCACTTCTAAAATATGGTTAAGATATGTAGACGATACTTTTGTAGTACTAAAACGAGATTTACACACATTCATTCCTGGAGAAACTAAACCGTGTATCTCCCAGAATCCAGTTTACTTCGGAAGCAGAATCAGACGTCGGTGAACCACTATTTCCAGGCTGCTTAGTTAAGAGAAGGGAAAACGGAAATTTTTAGTATATCCATATTCAGGAAGAAAACCCACTCCAATAAATATTTAGACTTCAAATCATCACACTCCATCAGCGCAAAGATTTCAGTTGTTTCAAGTCTTCTTAGACGAGCACACTCTCTGATAACGGATGAGAAAGAAAAAGAAGAAGAAATATCAAACACTACTGAAACTCTCAAGCAGAACAACTACCCAAGGAACTTCATCAACAAAATCAACACAGACATTAAGTATGGAAGAAAACATGGGCCTCAGCAGTTGTCATTCCATATAGAGCAGAGACGTCAGACGATATCAGAAGAGTACTCAATCGTCTCGAAATTAGAGTTTTCTTCAAAACATCAGACACACTGCGAAACAACCTAGTCCATATAAAAGACCAAATCCTAAAGGATTCTCTATCTAATTATGTCTATAAAATAAAATGCTTGCTTGGAATGTGATGCGATATGCATCGGACAAACATCACGAGAAATCAAGGGAATCAGAAGAAATGAACACCATAGACCATCTGTTCGACCACCGAGAAATCCGGTTAGTGGACTATAAAAGCTTGAAAAATCATTAGCCACAGGTCTACAGGCCACAAAATTGATTTTGACAATATTGAAATAATCCAGAAAAAGCATTTCAGAAATCACAAAGAACGTCTAATATCAGAAGCGCTTCATATCAGGTGGAATCCGAATTGTCTGAATAGGAATGATGGACTAAAACAGAATCTGACCTGATTACAACACCTCCCTCCCCCATGAAGTGACAAAATCAACACGAATGTGATAAGCAAGTTCACTGTGTTAACACACACCGCTTTTCTAATTTTACACACTGATCAAATCCAACAATCTACACTTGGTTTTGTTATCTTTACCAATTGACCAACTTGACAACGAAAGATGACCCCAAACTGACGAACGATCAAGTTAGTAAACTTGATTTGATATCATAACAGACGTACTAATACCTTTGTTATTTGTTTTTGTGATCTTCATTGTTATTTTGACTTGCAATATATCTTTTTAACTTGACCTAAGTCTATTTTTCCACCCCTTAGCTCTTTGTTATATATATGCTGAGACTGTAAATTCCGGTTTACTAATACTTTGATAAAGCTATTAGCACCATTAAATAGCGAAACGTGTCAGTAAAAACAATATCGTTTTATTTTTCATTCATTGGAAAATACAGAAACCTTTATTATATATTGAATTACATTCTATCAATATTTCTTCTATTTTATAGACAGGATGTCGAATCCTAACAGGTTTACTTGTTCACTCTGACGCTGTGCATTTTACTGCATCAATCTGTCCATCCTGTTCCGTTTCATTAATATCACCTAGACGATCTGTACCACATTGTTCAGCAGGGCACTTGTATCATCGACTTGCAGAGCTTCGTTTGTCTTTGGAGGAAACAGTATCTTCAGTTTCTAATGGTCATTGTGATTCAGCCTCCAGTCTTAATTCCTACAATGGTCAATCACGTTATACTTGTTTCAGTGACTGGCTTATAGACTTAGACAACTTTTTATCAGATGCTGCTAAAGAAACTGAGGTAAGTACCGTAATGAAGTGTATTTAAATATTAGTATAAAGGAAGGAGTGAAAGTATTCATTCATTGACCTTTGACCTTATATATTTTATATTACTACTACTAATTATTGTTGACATTAAGTAGATAATGCAAGTACCGATTTCTTAATATCTACTTTGATAACAAGCGAAAATAAAGGGATTACTGCGAACGACTTGAATAATAATAATAATAATAATAATCTACTTTATTCCAAAATCAGTACTTATAATACAAAATGGAATTCTAACCATTTGTCACAATATTGCATCTGATTTACTCAAAATATAAATAAAATTAAAAATTAAAACAAAATTAACCCGAGAGGAATTTGTCCACATTTACTATATAAAGTCAAATATATCCGAAGTACGAATTGAGAATACTAAATATAATAATAATAACAGTAAGTTTGTTTCAAACAGTATTGTCGATTCAATTTGAAAATTTTAGCATGTCATAGATTATTGAATCTAATGTTCTGTTGATATTGTATGGTGAGGGGAAAGGCAAAATTAACAGTTATAACACAGCTTAAATGATGCTCACACTCATGAAAAAATAAACAAAAAATTGGGAGGACTATGAATATAAGAAGTACAATAACAATAAAGTTTGGTATTGTAAGGTTGGAAGAAGTGGTTTATTTAGTAGTGCAAAGAAGGTTAGTTATTTCATGCCTAACACTGTTTTCATCACATAAAGTACGTGCTGCCAAATATGGTATAGTGGAATTATTATACTTGGAGGTACGTGCATAAAGTCTTTTGAAAAGACTTCTTGTTTTACCCGAGGAGACACAAGGTTGGAGTTGCGGGTAGAGTGGGTGCTCACAGTCTGATAAAATTCCTTTGGCGAATTTGTTGCATGACATCAAGTGCGTATCATTGGCAATGTCAACGATATGGCCCAATGGGATGCCACTCTTCTTACTGACAGTCTTCAGAGTTTGACGAAGTATGACATAGTCTTTTTAAGCAATTCAGGAAAAAATTAGAGTGAACAGTAAAGAATAGGTAAAATACACGAGTTGACAAACTGTAAGAGGAGTGGTTGGGTTATTCCTGAGTGCCTTAGCTTCTTAATGTAAAACGTCAGACGAAATATTCTTTTAGAAATCACCAAGACATGAGAAGACCAGGATAGGTCAGGAGAAAGAATTAATCCAAGATACTTAACTTCAGACTTGATTTCTGTATCCCCACTATCATCAATTTCGCAACGGTCATAGGAACCAACAGCTTCATTTAATTTTCTTTTACATCGGAAACTGGAATTAGCAGTCTGACATTTGGTGGAAGGACGTAGTTTAAGACCATTACACAAAGACTATTTGCTGACTCCTGATAGAAATCTGTTCATCTTAGTACAGTCTAGCTGAGAGTTAACAGACATTGAAATAGTTAGATCATCGGCGTACTTAACAAGTAAGGCCTGGGATCCAAACACACCGAGCTGCCCAGAAGTTTGTTGACAGATATATATCATTGAAAGGAAGTTAGTTGTATTGACCAATAAATGCTCACCATTACTATTATTCCCATGGGTTCTGAATGGAACACAGGGCTTGAACAGCACATCTCTATCTCATCCTGTCCTCCACAGTCCTCTTTCGTTGACTCGACGATTACCCAGAAGCTCTCATCCCCTTTTCACACTACCTTTATGTCTTTCGGATGCCCAACTCTCCGTGACCCATCCAGCTTCATCTTGAGGGTCTGGCACTCGGTATCATTCAACGAGGTTCTTGTAGTGTGTGTCGGGTTCACCTCTATTTTCTTCAGCACATTCGTTGAGCGGTAGGTTCGTAATTTGTTCTTTTCCAAAGCTCCTTGTTGCTTATCTTTTTTTGCTACCTGGTCTTGATTATTTGAGTAAATGGAGTAGGTACTGACAAAATGTTTTCAGCCTTCTGAAAGTTCTTTGTTTTGACTTATGCATCAAGTCTATGAACCATATAAAAGCATTAACTTGACGTGAGTGTTGTAAATTCTGATCTCATTGCTTATGGTGAATGCAGTTGATTTCCATACCGATTTCAGATTAGTAAAAATTTGCTTTGCTTTCCCGATCCTAACTTCGATACCCTCATCCTTGCTGCCTTTAGCTGGAAAAGTGCTGTTTAGATAAGTTAGAGGTGAATTCCTTCAAATTTATTCCAATGATAGTGATTAGTTGGCGGCTGGTTAGGTATACCGAGTGGTATACACTACCACGAGTCACATCTTGCGCCAACACAACTTCGGTTTAGCCGTAAAACGTTGGGTTTACAATAATTCGGTACAAACGGTTTCTCTGTATGTGTGAGAAATATGACATGTCTAAGCTGAAGAGCTGTGGCAGCTTAGCATATTCGATCATCGCCGTCCTTCTAGGATTACATGCCATATATGTGACTCTGAGGTTCAACGTACTATAGATTGTTATTCAATAAGTGATATCGTCTTGAGACTCCTTCAGTGCCTCGGATATGTAGTACAAATGTCATCATGCCTTTCCAGCTCTAAGAGTAATGAGTACACGTAGATGTGTTTACGCATAGTTTTCTTAGAGGGACGAATCCCCGACTGTTTGACTTCAAGTCTGATCCACAAGCCAGTAGAGCAGGCGTCAGAAGCTACGTTTCCATGGTTTCAACACAAGTTCATACGCCATTCGATCCATTCAGATTCTGGAGCCCGTGTACTCCCCATAGATTTGGAATGAGAAGTTTCCCGCCTCCCCTAGGTATAGACTAGCATGTCTGTCAGTTCGGTTGTAAGCTCCAAACCTTCGAATTGACTCTTTCACTCTTGTGAGAAACACTGTCGCCTTGCCAAGGTCGTGAACAGGTCTTGCCTCCGTCGGTGTCTATGAACATTTGGCACATGAGTAGATTTTGAGAGGAAAACCAAGGTCAACCCATTCTCGGTCATACCAGATCGTTTATGCAGGCATATAATAATTAGGAAGTCACGAGATTTCAATTATATTTTAACATATAGGAGTGTAAAATGTTTTGAAAATTCATTTACGCTTTATTTCTAAAGCTGCAGCTCGAGTTCTGCACAAAATTTTTTGTGACATAAGTTTAACAGTTTCTGAATCAATTTAGTAAATTGCAAATTAGTTCTCTGTCTGAAATCGACACATTTCGAGGTGAAATTCTCTTTAGAAAGGGGGGGATACACAGATCATAATATGTGACCTACTTGATACAATAAGTGGCGATCAAAATCAGCAGGGATAAATACCTGATACTTTATGATACTGCTGACTGATCGATATGAGTAGCTGGATGCCACTGACATCAACTAGCAGTGCTTGCTAACCAGAACGGGGTGATCTGACGGTTTCTGATGTACAGGTTAATGATTTTATCTATAAAATGAAACAAGTGTCCTTCAGATGATTTATAAACAGTTTATAGCTTATTTTGAGTGAATGATGGAATCCAGTCTGCACCAGCCAACACTGAGGACTAGACACATGAGTTTGTTTTTCTGGGCAGTTGTGTGAGTGCTGGCGGAGGGGTGACGGATGAGATATCCAACCGTATCATGAAGGCTAGGGTGGCATACATCAACTTGAGCCACCTCTGGCGCCGTCGCGACGTTAGCCTGGCTGTCAAAGGTCGGGTATACAATGCTTCGATGCGGGCTGTCTTGCTCTACGCCTGTGAAACCTGGCCTGGGGATGTGCGTGTTCGATCATCGGTGTCTCCGCAGGATTGCCTGTGTTCGATGGCTTCATCGCGTGAGTAATTCTGAGGCTCGGCGGTGTGTGTTTGAACACAATGGTGATCACTATTTGTTGAGTGTCGTCATCTGGAAACACCGGCTTCAGTGGTTTAGACATGTGCTGCGAATGTCATCCCAGAGGCTTCCGTACAGGTCTCTGTTCGCTAGCCCTGGGACGGGATGGAAAAGGCGGAGAGGTGGTCAGTCCATGACGTGGCGTCGTGGGATGAAGGATATTTGTACTAGGTTAGCATCGGTTGGTGCGTCACGTCTCCCTGGTTGGAGTTTGAGAGATAGCTCGAAACGTTGTCGGATATGGCCAAGAATCGTAATCAATAGCGAACGTGCTACAATTTCCTTCTTTCTTCCTTTCCTGATGATAGTTAACGAATACTGTTTGAACTAGTTAAATATGACTTTTTCCTTCCAGATGAAGTTCTTTATCCTTTCTCTACTTATATTTTATTGTTTATTATTATTATGTGGTCCATCGTCTTGGGGCCATATTGTACCAATTTACTGCTCAGTGTCCAATCAATTTATCCATTACAGCCCCTACTGGAGGTTAATCACGAGCCTGAATAGTTCAGTGGTAATGCAACTCTGATTAACCTGAGCTTTTATAACAAGCAATAAAGGTTAATAAAGCAGGATTTAATGAATTCATCAAATTTCGGTAGAACTCGTCAGCTGAATACTCTACATACACGGATATATATACTTTTGAAATTACATTGGGAGATATAAGACTGATAAGTAAACAAACTACATTGAATTAATCATGCAGAAACTATACGGATGCGTAAAAATACACAAACCAGGGGCGCCGTTAAGACCCATACTCTCTATGATAAACTCACCGTACCACAGACTAGCACAGTGGTTATGTGAACTGTTGCAGCCATTGTTGAAACGTTTCGGAACACATATAGTCTCTGATTCATTTCAATTTGTCAATCAAATCAAAGATTTCAATGTATCCGATAAGCATTTGGTCTCTTTCGATGTTACCTCCCTTTTCACAAATGTGCCAGTTGTTGAGACTATCAACTTCATATGTAAAGAAGCTGAAGACATACCCATTCCAACATCGGAATTGAGGAAATTACTACTTTTATGTACTAAAAATGTCCAATTCCAATTCAACGGGCGTCTGTTCCGTCAAGTTGATGGTGTCACAATGGGAAGCCCTTTGGGACCACTTTTCGCCGACATATTCTTGTCACGCCTAGAAACCGGTGCTTTGCAGCAACATATACAAGAAACAAATGCATACTTAAGATATGTTGATGACATTTTTATTGTCTGCGAAAGCAGATCAAAAGCGGAAGACATGTTGATAAAATTCAATTCATGCCATCCAAATCTCAATTTCACAGTAGAACACGAGGAAAACGATACTATGAAATTCCTAGACGTTTTTCTAGCCAAAATGAATGATAGCACAATCGAAAGATCTATATTTAGAAAGTCTTCATGGACAGGACAGTACATGCATTTCAAGAGCTTTGTCCCAATCCAGTACAAAAAGAACCTAGTCAGAACACTGTTCAATAGAGCACGGAAAATTTGTTCTGACAGTACTATTGAACAGGAAATAAAATCTCTGAAGGATATTTTATGTAAGAATGGATATCCTGAGAAGTTCATTAATAAATACTCTAAAGAAACTACCCCTTGCAAAACAATTCAAACAGTTCCAAATAAACCTGTTTATATCAATTTGCCGTTCAAAGGAGATGACGTACAAGAAGTAATGAAACGAAGACTCGACAAAGCCATCAAGAGAACTTATTATGCTGCAAAACTTGTTATCCTTAACACCACCACGCGAGTGCTTCAACAATCTGGGAAAGACCAGTCGCCAATCCTCGACACTTCAAACTTCATATATCAATTTGAGTGTTTGTGGCAGCAAATACATAGGTCGTACAGAAAGGCGATTGTCTACTCGCATGATGGAGCATTTGCCAAAATGGTTGAAAACAGCTGAGTTCAAAGTGCCAAAATCCTCAATAACAAAACACCTTGTAGATTATGGACATGATATTGACGCAGTCAAGATATTTACCATTGTCAGCAAACAAAGAAACAAGAAGATGCTTGCAATTGCAGAGGCTTGTGCAATTCGAATTTACAAACCAGCTCTCTGTATACAAAAGGAGATGGTCGTGACTCTTAATCTACCATGGTAATACGTTTTATTCTCTACTTGTTATTATTCTACCTCTTCTTCTTACTATTATTGTTATTATTATTACCATTATTATTATTATTATTCTTGATTAATCTAAAACTATGCTTTATCAGTAAGATTATCTTAACTCACTTCAACACTATTAAAACTGTTATTATAACTATTACTATTGATATTAGTCTGTTTGCAATTCTCCTTATATTCCCTAGTGACTAATTGTTTATCTAAGTGATGTAATTGAAGCGTAATGCAATTTATCTTAATTTTGATCTCTCATACTCTCTCTCCCCTTATCTATTTGAACATGACCTGGAAAACATTCGCACGTGTCTTTCTGTATGATTAATTCAATGTAGTTTGTTTACTTATCAGTCTTATATCTCCCAATGTAATTTCAAAAGTATATATATGCGTGTATGTAGAGTATTCAGCTGACGAGTTCTACCGGTCTGGGGTTCTAGTGGGAAGTCGTGACCAGTAGGGTACATCAAGTTGAAGATGGGGCAGTAACTCATCGAAGAAGACATTGCTAAGTGGTTGCGCTATGTCATGAATTAGCAGAATTTAGAATTCATGGTCTGGCCATTGAATCGGGTCCCAGTGGCTTAATGGTCTACGAGCTAGCTCGCCTTGTAACCAGAAGATCCTGGGCTCGAGCCGCGGTGGATGCGTACTGATGGAGAGTCCCAAGCACTAGGACGAAGCAGCTGTCCAGTACTCCTTGCTGGTTTTCCAGTGTTTCTCTAACTGGTGTCAGCTCATGATGAAATCCTCTATGCAATCAAACTGAAACCTTAGTTTTTCCTATTGGTTATACCATTGTACCTTCAGATTATTCTGTTTTATTGATTTATAATTATTAAGTACCAAGTTAACTTTGCCTCATCATCATCATCATCATCTCCATTTTAGGTAGTTTATGGTTCTACTAAAGGCAGTTTACAAGCTGCTCATCAACTTCGATCCCATTTAAAATCACTTGTACATGAATATGGGCCAGAATTCGAGGCTGTTCTATATCCATTGGCAACAACTTCCAATGAACCAGAGAATGATTATTCTGTTGATGTACCGATTTGTACACCGGATTCTTTAATAGCCCTATCACCTGCTCCTCTAAAAATTGAGGTAACAGAGTAGTAGTCCCACTGATGATGATAAGTGTACACAGACATCAGCTTTTTTCTTTTTGTATAACCCGGTTACAATAATAATAATAATATATACAACTCCGCCTGCACTGTGGATTTACTCTTTAGGTTATATTATATAATTTATATCGACTTCTCTATTGGTTGTCTTGTTTGTGTATTATTGATGTAATTAATAGTGTTTTGTCTCGTATATATATACCGTTTTCTTTATGGAAAGGGTGTTAGGTTAAAAAGTGACTTTTTGTACACGCTGCATACCTACTTGGTATTGCTGGTTTCCTACATAATAATCCCCTTTTTTATCATTTTGTCTTTTTAAATAAACAATCTTTTTGTTTATTTACTTTTTTTGTTTACTTTTTTCTTTGCAAATTTATGGAAGTGTTTGCATTTATATGTAACTGTTATTATACACTGTTGAAATTTAATATCCATCCTTCTATTATTTTTTAAAAAAAATTGGCGGTTAAAATGGTTTATTACTCTGTAAGTGTGAAGAAGAATCATGTTGATTCTACTTCTCACAGAAAATACATTGCACTGATCAAGGCACTCTACTCGAACTCATGCAGCCAGGTGAGTGCTTACGGCGAGTTATCATCTGAAGTGATGACGACTAGTGGTGTCCGTCAAGGATGCCCATTATCCCCACTCCTATTCAGTTTTATTATAGACGTACTAATGGACTTAACCTTAACTCACTTCAGCGACTCAGGGATTAACTCGCCACCAGGGAATAATCTCGTTGACTTAGAATATACAGACGATATAGTCCTTCTAGGCGAGGACGCTGACAGAACCGAGCAGAGTCTTCTGGACACCTTGAGCTGCAATCTGACGAATGTTTAGCATGCGATTCGCTCCCGCCAAATGCAAGATGATTTTATTATTATTATTATTGTATCCTTTAGTTCCTAGAGGAACATAGGGCTTCAGCTGCGCACCTCCATTGACTTCGGTTTTCTGACAACTTTTTCAACCTGCTCCAGGTCTGTCCACATGCTTTCATCTCCTCCTCGCATGACCTCCTCCAAGTCACCCTTGGACGACCAACTCGCCGCCTCCCTTTCGGGACTGGAATACACTGACTCCTAGATTAGGAATAGGGAGTGAAATGGTAGAGCATGTTGACCGCTTCACTTATTTGGGAAGTTGCATCAGCCCCAACGGGTTGATCTCTGACGAAATCTCAGCATGGATACAGACGGCTAGTTTCGCATATGCCAGTTTACGCCGTCTCTGGCTTAGACGAGATATCCGACTATTGACCAAAGGGCGTGTGTACTGCTCAACTGTCCGCTCCGTCCTCCTTAATGCCTCTGAGCGAGACATGGCCATTGAGAGTGGAAGACATGAAAAGGCTGGCTAACTGTTTGTGATCATAGGTGCCTGCGCTCTATCAACCATGTGAAGTGGTATAATAAGGTGAACAATATTGAGGTTAGGGGTCGAGTGCTAGGTAACCAGGGGAAATCAATCGAAGAGGCTGTGAAATTACATCGACTGAGGTGGTTAGGACATGTGTTACGTATGCCCTCCTCAATGGGCAATGTTAGCTGACATAGGGTCAGGCTGGAAAAGAGCTAGCGGCGGTCAAACCTGATATGTATCCATATATATATATATGTTTGTGTGTGTATGGTGGTCTCTCTTTCTGTTTGCTCGCTTAGTCTGTGAACATTTTCACCTTGATGAACCTGTCTCCTTTACCAATAATTTGGCGACGAGTACATAACAATTTGGCGACGGGGAAAACTATGGATCCTTCTAAATTGGAATTATTGTTTGAACGACAAATGAAATTAATGGAAATGTTCGTCAACCAACAGACTGGTCCAGCTTCACCTTCAAGCAATCCCAACCATACCATGCTACCATCTGTCGACGGCATTGTGAATAGTATTTCACAGTTCAATTATAATCCAGATACGAATGTCACTTTTGACACATGGTATCAACGATATGAGGATTTATTCACAGTTGACCTTGCCTCACAAGACGATGCTTGGAAGGTGCGAGTGTTATTACGTAAATTGGGTCCCGCAGAATATGAACGGTACTGCAACCTAATTTTCCCCCAGAAACCACGTGACAAGTGTTTCGATGATACAATAAAGCTTCTGCGTGAACATTTTGGAGACCACTCCTCATTATTCAGCATACGTTATCGTTTCCTCAAGCTGACCATGAATGAAAATGATAATTTTCTTACTCACGTTGGCACAGTCAACCGAGAATGTGAGAGATTTCGACTCAGGTCCTTAACAGATGATCAATTCAAAGCCTTGATTCTCATATGCAGTCTTCAATCTCCTCGTTTCACAGATATCCGAACTCGACTGCTCAATCAGCTAGAGCAAAATCCTAAGTTAACTCTACATGACATAGCTGATGAATATCAACGGCTGATTAATTTGCAGAAAGATACACACCTGGTCGAATCAACACCTTAGAGAAGCTCTGATATTCATGCATTACGAAAGAGCAAAAATCTCTCATCATCCAGTCCTGACCCACCTTCTCCTAATGTTCCGCGGAAATCTATACATACTCGTCCAACTTCACAAAATACTGCAAAGAAGACCCCACCATCACCATGCTGGCATTGTGGCGCGTGGCACTTTGTAAAGTCTTGCCCATACAAAAATCATCGTTGCAGCAAGTGCAAAATCATCGGTCATAAAAATAGATTTTGTCAGCCACGCAAACCCAGATATCATAATCCAGCGAAAGCTCGACAAACTGTTGGTCCTAAATCTCCAAGAAGATCATTGAGTCTACTCGCAACCTGTCAAGTCACAACACCAGGTATTCGGAAATATATTGACCTTCATATGAGTGGTCATGATGCACGTCTGCAGCTAGATACCGCCTCTGATATTACTGTTATATCAGAGAAACTTTGGAATAATATTGGCAGACCACCTATCACCAATACTTCCCAGACTCTTGTCAGCGCCTGTGGTGGGCGGCTCAAACTAATTGGTGAACTCAAATGTTCTGTTTCCTTCCGCAATATCAAATTCACAGGAATTTGTTACGTCACCAAGAGTGATTTGTCTGTCTGTCTGTTTTCGACATAGAACTTTGCACAAATGTGCGGAAGTTCAAGTCGCCACATTCCGTGTAGCACGCGAAGCAAGAGAAGAAAGTACAAGAAAAGCATAATAGAAACAGTGAGCAGAGGTGTGAGACAAAGGAGTAATAAAGAAATACAAAACAGTTTCATTGAAGATCATAAGTCACAGGGAGTGGATGCATCTGCGCCACTGAGAACGATTTTGAGCCATGTCACCAATTGTTTCCAACCATAGATTTTTACCAAGAGTGATTTAAATCTTTTGGGACTTGATTGGTTCGATCGTTTGCATCTGGCTGATGTCCCACTAAATTCTCTATGCAATGCAGTCAAGAAGCATAAAATGACAGACAATTCCGGACGAATCCGAAGCCGCAAACCCAACAGGCAGACGAAACGACAGACGTCAACAACAAGCTCAAAGGTTCCAGATAAACCCCCAGGTAAACACCCTATTAATCATCAATCTTCTCAAAAGGGGAGGTGATATGTATCCATATATATATATATATGTTTGTGTGTGTATGGTGGTCTCTCTTTCTGTTTGCTCGCTTAGTCTGTGAACATTTTCACCTTGATGAACCTGTCTCCTTTAACAATAATTTGGCAACGAGTACATAACAATTTGGCAACGGGGAAAACTACTATTAACCACTCAGCAGCAGTACATAACAAAACCAAAACATGGAACCAGTCAATGAAATCTACAACAGTTAGTGTAACCCAGCCAGTCACGTAGGGAAACTGTAGACTTCCTGCTTGGGGTCCTCCGGACGGTTAAAACCAATTGTTGGAAACAATTGGTGGCATGGCTCAAAATCGGTCTCAGTGGCTAGCGCAGATGCATCCACTCCTTGTGACTTATTATTTCCAATGAAACTGTTTTGTTCTTCGTTATTACTCTTCCTTTGTCTCACACCTCTGTTTACTGTCTCTATTATGCTTTTCTTGTACTTTCTTCTCTTGCCTTTTGTGCTACATGGAGGGATTGTGGCGACTTGAACTGCCGCACATATGTGCAAAGTTCTATGTCGAAAACAGACAGACTTCTCACATTAGGCTTGGTTGAACTGTAAGTTGTATCCTGCTATTATCTATCAAAGGAGGTATGTACAGCACACCAGTTCTTTCTGTCCTTCTTTACATCTATGTGTCAGTACTGGTGAAAGCGAGGGATACGAAAAGACTTGGTGTCTTTGACCACAGATGTTTGTGTTGTCTCTTCTGTGTTAAGAGTGGTATAATATTGAGGTCAGGTGTTGAGTGTTAGGTAAGGAGGGAAAGTCAATGAATGAGGTTGTGAAGGTGAATCGGTCGAAGTCACTGGGACATCTGTTGCTCATGCTGGGCTTTTACCACCTTCCTCGATGAGAAGTGTTAGCTGACGTAGGAGTTCCAATCAGAAAAGAGTTATGGGTGGTTAAACCAAAACCTGGTATCTATCCATGAAGTCTTTGACAGTTAATTTAGGCCACGCAGAAAGGTGCAGACTACCTGGGCAGGGTCGTGGAAACTATAAAAACCAATGGTTGGAGACAACTGGTGATGTGGCTGGAAATTGTTGTCAAAGGCGCAAATGTATTCAGTCTGTAATCTCCTGCATGAGACATTTCTTCTGCACATTATTATTATTGTTCCCTTGGGTTCCTAGTGGAACATAGGGCTTCAACTGCACGTCTCCACTCGCCACTTCTGTCTTCTGCTGTACTTTTCACCTGCATCTATGTTAGTCCATACTCTTTCAACTCCTCTTCACACGATATCCTCCATGTCACCCTTGGACGTCCCACTCGAGCAATGGCCTGACGCGCGCGCGATGTCATCCAGCGGCCTCCTCAGCGAGTGTCCGGTCCATCTCCACTTTCTCCTGCTTATATGTTGGGCGATTGGTTCTTGTTTTGTTTGTT